CTCTCTCTCTCTCTCTCTCTCTCTCTCTCTCTCTCTCTCTCTCTCTCTCTCTCTCTCTTGCTCTCTCTCTGTCACTCTGTGTGTGTGTGTGTGTGTGTGATATTGTCAATTCTCAATATGTCAATTACAGCATTAAAATGAAAAGCGCTGCCCAAAACATGGCAACAACAGTAGGTCTCTCGAGAGGCATGTATGCATTTGTGTTTTGGCAGGGGTGTAAGCACAAAATAAATTTGCACCGGGGCCTTCACCATGATGTTACCTCTGAGTCTATCACCCGTTAATAATTTTTCGATGTGCAACATTCCATATTAATGTTCCATAAACATTCCTTCCAACATTTTAGTTCGAGAGACATTCCATCAAAACGCTTGTTTTTATTGGAAAACTTGTACATGTTATGTTGTATTGTGGGATAAGCAACATAAATATAGTGTTTTAGATCAACTCTCAGTACTTTGTACATAACATTTTTTGAAAGAGGAAGCAATGATTGGGAAAGACAATCTCGTGTTCATCTCTATTTTGGCTCTTTTTTCCATCAAATCTTAAGTTCAATGACATAAGATCATAAGTTGCCACAAAAGTTTGCTGATGTTGGCACTCTTCTTGTTCTGCGGTTCCTGAATTTCAGAATCATGCGTGCCAACCCTAACTAAATTTCACTTGGTGTGCTATGCTCGCTGATAATCGTCTGTTAAAACGTGATCTGAGAAATTCACCTGTTTCATTCTCATTGTTTATGTAGGATACCATTGCAGATGCTTGCAGACAAACCAACTAAGTTCAGAGTCATTCTTAGGCCAGCATATTTTGTCCTCATAAAGTGAAAACAAACATGCCTTCTGAATTTGACACACCACAGGTACGAGCACCGTTTAAAATGATGCCAAATTTATATATAAATACAAAAAGCAAGACTTAAAATTATTATTTTTTTAATCAAACCGCTCAGTGTGCTTTTAATTGCTGTAGGAAAGCCTGGTGACTAAAAGCAGGCTTAATTTTGTTTTTTGTTTTGTCAGTGATCTGTTATTGTTTGCAGTCAGACTCCTGCATGATGATGTTCGAATAAATACATAAATAGAATTGGCGTAGATCTTATGGCTAGGTTTGAGGGGATTTTTTTTTAATCAACTAATACAGGACCTGATATGGAAAAAAAAGTTTCAAAAACAAAAAGCTCGTAAGGGAAGTTCACTCTCTCTTTATGTCGTTAAATCGATGATAAATCCACAAAACACAAATTTAGGGGTCAAGTTTCACAGTTCTGAGCTGCAACCGGTAAATTGAGTTCTTGGAAGAATGCTTTCCTGTCTGTTTCCAATCAGCTTTCAACATTTTTTTTTCTGTTAGTGTAGTCACATGACCTTTAGACTGACGGAACAAGTGTTGCAGCAATTCCAGCACTTTCATCATAGCTGTCGGAAAGCCATTTTGGTTTGTTTTTTTGCAACTAACTAAGGTGGAGAGGGTCCTTCTTTGCACCAAAGAGACGGATTAAGAAAGAAGGAGAGCGGAAGCCAAAAGGCAAGAGGAAGGAGGAGCTATACCATTTAAAAGGAAGAGAAAGAATCAGAACAGATGGCGATGTGATCTGTGAGATCCACCACAGCGGGAAGGAGGGCATCAAAGGTCTGTATTCTTTTCTACTTAACTGCACATTTTATGAGAAGATAAGAAACCCTTTATTTGTCTCACAATGGAGAAATTCGAGTTATTTTTGTCAAAATGAATAAATTATGTTCATAGGACAATAAACCCAATAAGTTGTATTTCTTCTAGAATGCTGTGCCTCTCTCTTAATGTCTACTGGAATTGGCTACAGCTTAACCAAAGCCTTTTTTGTCATTGTATGGTCAAGATACAGTGAAATTGGGGTGCAACTCTAGGTTTGTGTTTCAAGAATGAAAAATCTCAAATAAATAATATTTGTCGCCACGCAAAACAAATTATGCAGTGCAATGGCTGTGAACCACAAATGCTAAAGGTACGGTAGCGCTGGAGTCAGAGATGCTGACTCTTCAAAGGACAGTACAGTGGAACCTTTTTTTTTTTTTTGGATAAATGCAGTCCAAAAAAAATCTAACTAAAATTTAATCTTACAAAATCCAAAGGAGTACAATATTTTCCCCCAAAAATAATGCAAATCCAATGGTATCCATTCCAGACAACCGAAAATACCAACAAAAACACATTTCATCGAGAATAACGATAATTCAACATCCAGAATATATTGCAAAATAACTATTAATGACTAGTGAAATGGATGAATGACACCTTTATAGAAAATACTTGATGTGGTCTCGAAAACTTTTTCTCCAAGTGTCGGCACTTCAAACTTACTTGGCTCCCATGGTCCCGCAATATGCAAAGAGTGTCGGTGTTAGTGTGAGGTCAGTGCGGTGATGGGTGGCCGAGTTTGTTTATTCTGGTCTTGATGGACCGAGAGCTCCTGCCACAAACTGATGGTGGATAGGTTGGGTGTTATTACTTGTGACTGCCCCTGTTCTTCTGATGCAATGGGACATTTCAACGTCCTTCACAAAGGGTTGGGGGCAGCCGATGATCCTCTGCGCTGTCTCGACCACTCTTTAGAGCGCCTTCTGTTCTGCCTCAGTGTAGTGGGATGGGAAAACAATGAAAAGTAACCAGAAAACAAACACAAAGTGCATAAAACTAAAATGTTTTTGCCTCTCATCTTCGGTTATTTTTGGCAGGTGTGAACACAGATTCCACTGGTGTGCGTGCGAGTGCCAGAAACAGGGACCATGCCGGACCGTCAGAATCGTTTGGGGATGCGACAAGCCCTCACCTTCATCACGGGCCTGGTGGAGTGTCTTTGTTTTGCAGGCATCTTATTTGGGTGGGCCTCACTTGTTTTCGTCCTCAAGAAGGAGAGTTACTTCAAAGATCTGTGTGTCAACAGCACAGGAATCAATGGCTCACAGGTTTTAGGTCAGCTTGCGATTCTCATACTTTTGATCTGGAATAAAAGGTGCAACATTGGCTTTTTCCTTGCCTCTTTCAGATTGCAGTGGACAAGATGAGCAGCTCTCCCTGGTCTTCACCATTGCATCCTTCATGAATAATTTTCTGACAGTAGCAAGTGGTTTCATTTTCGACCACTTTGGCACAACAGTGGCTCGGCTCTTGGGAATGTGAGTGCATCTTGACACAACTTGTTCAGTGCCATGATGGAGTTCACTCAGTTTGAGTGAAACATCCATACATGCAGCTGAAATCATACTAATGGTTGCCAATTACAAATATCAGCATGGTTTCCAAGAGGAGTGACTGAGAGGAGAGTGGCATCCAATAGACTGTTAAATATGGTAGGGATGGTTTGAAATTATTGATCAGTAATGCACATGACTAATACAGTGGATCAAGAAAATATTCACCTGCAATGACGAGGCTTTAGCGGTATGTCTTGGACATACATTTTGGCAGCTCAAACATATGAAGATTTGTAGGCATAAGGAAAATGCTGTATCAATTAGCATCCATTTTTCAGCAGGGCCTGGATTCATAGATTCAGTGGACAGGCCCACAGCTTTTGAGATCGGTGACAATGGCTTGATTTTTCATCACATTTAAGGCTTGTTTCATGCACTTGTTTTTTCATATATGCCGATACACTTTACAGTTCATTTTAAGATTCTTTGATTTGTTTTCGAATCTTAAAATGGTCTTACCTTACCTCTCTGAGCTCCTCTATCCCTACTCGGCTGCTCAGTGCCTCAGGTCAGCAGAACAGACGCTACCGGAGGTACCGAGGACTAGGCAGAGGCTCAGAGAGGATTGCACCTTTTCCCTCCCCCGTCCCTCCCTTTGGAATGACCTTTTGTCCTCTGTCCATTTTTAAAACTGGCCTTAAAACATATTTCTATTCTATAGCTTTTGGCTCTGCATTGTTTCAATGTTTTATGGTGTCTGATGTAGTAGTGTGGTTCATTTATTGTTTCTACTGTCGTTGTTTTTGTATGACTAATTTGTACTGCATGTACAGCAGTTTGTCTGCAACAATGGTTGTTTTAAAGTGCGCTATAAATAAAGTTAGTTGAGTTGAGTTTTAGGGTAGGATGTATCATTGTTGCATACTGTATCTGGACTTGGCATTATTTGTCCACGTTTCCTTGCAAAAGCACTCAAAACAGGACAGATTGTGTCTTCGGGTCACTCCACTTATTTTAAATTTGATTTTGGCCTTGGTTTTGACTAGGAGATTCCAACTCTTAAATTTTTTTCGAATTAAGCCAATATTTTGTTGAATTGGGTGTATGCGTCGTGTCATTAACATGCTGAATATTCTCTTCATCTCGTCTAAAGATTTTGGTCTAAAATGAAGCCCTACCCTAAACTTTAAACCACGATGCTGCCATGTGTTGTTCCTCTGGCAATGTTGCTGGGTTACAGCCTAAATATAGGAGACCTTGTGATTTTTTTTTCTTTCGTTCACGGTGTTTATCCATTATATGAACATGATGGAAGGAGGAAGGATAAGAAGCAGATGATGAAAAGTCGCAGTCGCTTTCATGAGAAATGGTAATGTCTACATAGACACCTAAAAGGGAACCCAGGGAGCACTGAAATGGCTGAGAGTGAAACAGGTTATTTTGCGTGGTGGTGTTGTTGGGAGAAAGGGATCGAATTACATAAATGAAAGCAGTACAAGAAAATACCTGATAAAGGATAAATACACTGTAAGAAGGAGTTATCGGAGAGAAAAATGCATGTTTGGCTGACAGTGCGCAGTAACTATTTTGTCATGTCAACAGAGCTGTAGCTCCAGAATAATCCAAACCAACAACAAAAATATACTGACACATGGAACGTCCATGTGTTTCCACTAAAACAGGGTGGAGGGAAAATACAGGGCCGAGGAATGCTCATAGCTTTTCCCAGCTCTATACTTCACAGCTTGATGAGTTGAAGGGATCTACTGTTTTGTGGGTTGGTACAAGAAATAAATGGAAAAACAGGAGCCCCAGGGGGAGTCGCGTCACGAGGCTGGAAATTAAATCCACAAGTGTTTGTACAACAAAATCTTTTGAGAAAAATTGAGATAGTCTGCATAAAAGGGTTATACATTTATGTGTTTTGCCTTTTTTTAAAATTGAAGCTTAAAGTACACGAAAATCACATGTTTATATTTTATTTAAAATCAGTTGTGGTGGTGTATAATGGCCAAATGCTGAAATAGTCATTGTTCAAATACTTTTGCATAAAAGATGTGTGAATTCTTCTCTCAATTTCTCTCAGTGTGTACTGTATTAGTTTGAACATGTGTACGGTACATATTTTGTCAAAATCCACAAATCCAAAGTCTTTATTATGTTGTTAGTTTTAAAAAACATTCATTGATCATGCATGTAATGTGTTTATTTCAGAGGTTTCCACACTGTCGGTACCTTGATGGTGGCCTTCTCAAATTCAGGTAAAACAAAACAAAAAAAACAAAACAAAACAAAACACTTTTTTGTCTGAATCCTGAAAGCAAGTGAGGATGCTCATTTATTTGCCTTTTTTCCATCAGCTCTGTCCGTCCTGCTTTTCCCAGCCCTCTCCTTCATTGCTGTGGGGGGCATTATGTTGCTCATCACCAACATGCAGGTAGGTCCGAAATATTTTTGTCAAGCAAGTCTTATCCTGGAGGGGTTGTTTAAAGCACCAGGAAAATATTTGACATGAGAAAAATCTCACGGCACACTACCAAACTAAAAAGTCACATATAGCATAGTAAATAACTAAAATAATGTTCAATTATTGTTCAGTTTACTCACAAATTTATTCACTACATTTGACCCATCACAGTATTCGACACAGCAAACCCATACCGTTAGGAGCAGGGGAATGGGGAAGGGGAGCCAAACCTTGCACGGGCACACACAAGTCCATGTGCACGTGTACATGTGTGCGCATTCAAAGAACTCAAATTACTTCCAAATGAACTCCTAAAAAGCTTCTTTTCGTCATCTTGGTTCATTGGTGGATTACAGCTATTTGGTGCATACCACCACCTACTGTACAGGAAGCAAAAAGCGTTTCCATAAATAGCCAAGAGAAGCAAGCCTGCTTGTTTTCAGCCCCACGGACAAATACACGAGATAGTCAGGGCGTGTTTCTGTCAGGCGTCAGCAAAATGGGCATCCGTCAGTGACGACTGAGAGGTCCGTCGGTACTTGACCCGGTTCGTAACGAATACACTGATGGGCCTAAACCCACCTTTGTCAGTGCTTTGACCATCATTTCTTTCAATAAGTTTGAATTTACCATCATTTGTCAATCATCACCAAAATGGGCGTCGGTCAGTGACAGACTGACAGACCTTCCATCAATAGTTCCCACCTCTGCAAAAATGTGTGTCTAGCCTCACTGTGCTACCACGTCAGTCTATTCTGGGTCAGAATCAGGAGTGCTGGCCACTGTAAATAAACCTGTATTAGCAATTGGGTTGGTTCTTTCAATGATCAGATTTCAGATTCCTCCTCACTGGGCCAGACCACTGTCCCTCAATGATGTCAGCATTTTCCATCCTCTGACTGGTTGGTCAGAGCAATATATTTATATGTAAATATATTTACATTAAATATATTTTGAATATATTTAAATATATTCAAACATACTTGCAAGCATGTTTGAAAGTACTCGCAAGTACATTTGAACGTATTTGTTTGCAAAAAAATTCCACATTGGCAGTTCCACGCTTCCGTACAAAACAGAATTCACTGTACATTTCTCTGCATGTCAAGCCCCGTCAACCAATGCGGGGCGTATGTGCAAGGGGTAACTAAGGTCAACTATTATGTTGTGCCTGCCCTCATGATGACAAGTTTGAAAAATACGGCATCAGTGTGAACAACCTTTTCTAGTGAACATCGTATAAAGGATAGATAAAGTACAAACAAAAAAAAAAACCCACTACCAGCAGCAGAGAACACAGCAATATAATACATTTATTTCAACTTCTCCCCTTGAAGGTGGGAAACCTTTTTGGCACCCGTCGTTCCACCATCATTACTCTCTACAACGGGGCCTTTGACTCTTCCTCAGCACTCTTCATAATCATCAAGGTGAGAGATTTCCCATCATTACCCAAATCATGTGATTTATCTAACCTCATATATAATACACTGATATTGATCTTGCCTTTTTTCCGATACAGTTGCTATATGAGTCTGGCATCTCTCTCCGTGCCTGTTTCCTGTTCCTGTCCATCTGCAGTGTCATTCATGTGCTCAGGACTTTCTTCCTTTTTCCCAGAACCATCATTCCATACCCACTGCCTGATGACTACACATATGGGTATGAACAGGAAGGACTTGTCACATTATTCTTTATGTATATGCAAAATGGCCATTTTTCTCTTGGCAAGTGTAAATCTCGTATATTCATGGATGGGAAGCATGACATGTAAACAAGTACTCATAGAAATCTAACTCGCGCTGTACTTTGACCTTAGGCTGTCCTGCAGTAAGCGAAAAAGGGCCAAGCAGTCTATGAATGTGAGCTCACAGAAGACCACAGAGACAGAACCATTTGCCAACAAGGCACCTGCGAAACAAGGTCAGTGTGCAATTGCAAGTTTCCAATCTTTTCGAACTCAGGTTTCATACAGACACATGTAGAGCTCAAATTTAACTTCAGCATCCCATTGAAAATGTTTGAGATACAGAAAGGCATCAGCCACCGAACACAGGTTTTTCACATTTCCTGAGGTTCTCTTTTAAACATCTTGTAAGGGTCATATTTCAGTTGGTTCAGTAGGGAAATAGAAAAAATTACAACTCAAGTCACTCCTATTATAATGATGGTGACTACCTATTTAATAAGTGATGCGGGTGAAACATGTCAAATTGCTTGTTAGCCAGTGAGATAGTTCTAGCGAATATTAAATTAATAATTTTAACCACAACTTATATTTATACTGTTTACAGTTCTTTTTCTGAAACATTTATTTATTTTGTGCATGCAACACTGTTTTTTTTTTCTCTACCCCCCCCCCACCACCACCACCAATTTTGCTGCTGTAGACTGCAAATTTCCCCAGTGTGGGACAAATAAAGGTTATCTTATCTTCTTATCTTATCTTATCACAATGGCTTTATATAGCAGTGAAAATATGGCACCTCTCAAGCAATAAAGCAACAGGTCATTAAAAATGTATTAGTGATATTGAAAACTAATATTTGCGAATGGTCTGCTTGCTTTGGTGTTCATCCTTAGGAATTTTTTTAATCAATCCATAAATCCCAGCTGCCATGTTTGGTAACCGGGATGAAATGCGTGTTTATGTATGTTTCACTGAAGAATTGTTAAATACAATAATTACTTGGTGAAAGATCCATCCTGAAGAAAATATGATCAATTGTCCCGTTTAGGTCTGTTGGTCAACCTTTTTCGGAACTAATGATTTTGAAATCTCTGCAATTTCTTGTCTCACCCAGAGAAAACTTTACGTGAGTGTGTTCTATCCAGATTATTCATCTGGCACGTAATTTGGTTGTCGGTGATCCAACTGCGACATTATCTGTTCATTGGCGCCCTTAACCCCATGCTGCAGAAGCTAACTCATGGAGAGCCTTCACTTGGTAAGATCATACTTCATCATGTGGCCTTCAAATACTACAGTGGCATGCAATTCAAATATACACAAACAAGCCTCCCCGGTAGATAATCAAAACATGCACGCATGCCCTGATGACCCTGATATTAAAAAAGACATGGCAGGGCACAGAGAAACCATATGAGGAAAAAAATTACTACAGTAATTGTTCATTTTCTTCTAGTTAATGGTCCCAGAAAGACACATTACACAAATTGGCACTGTGAAGTTGACAGTAATCCTCATTTAAATGTATAAACCTTTGTCACTGTGTTGGCAGTCAGCCAGTACATCAACGCCTTTGCCTTTACCCAACTGTGTGGGGTGTTGTGCGCGCCTTGGAATGGCCTCATCATGGACAGAAACAAGCGCAAACCTCTGCCTGAAGGTAATGAACAACAAGCACGTTTGCCTTTATAATCACCAAGAAAAAAATTAAAAATTAACTAGTGGAAATATTAGTAGCCACCAGACTCAGTGGGACGTTCATCAGGGTACAAAGTAGAACCCACTGAATAAATACAGTCAGGCCAAGTTTCAAACAGGCAAATAGATAATAGGAATCCATTCGCGTATTTCCAACAAATGAAAAAGCTGTATGAACCATTTTAGGATACATCGTCTAAAAAGCCACCAACAAACAGTACATTATTGATGTTACAGTTGATGTATAGTCTAACTATCATGCTACTGTATCAGGTACTGGGGGCAATGTTGTCAGAGAACGGCAGCGTCGTAATGTCAGACACATGCGTCCAATTGGAGAGGGACTGACAGTGATGTAGAATTATGTTGGTGGAGTAACAATTGGGTGGAGACAATGAACATCAGGGCATGAGGCTGACAAATTTGTCAGGGTGACCATTGTCCCACCGACGTAATGCGTGTTTTGGCCTCCGGACTCCGGGGGCTGTACTATGGTCTAGTGCCTCTCGAAGGCAAAACATCATATTTTGAGTCATTTCACAGCTGCTGACAGTGAGCTGATGAAGGTGAACGGCCAACTCGGCTGATTCCTGCTAATATATGGATGGGGGTTGGAGGGAGCACCTGTCCCATATACACTCAACGATTGCCAAACGGCTGCATATGTGTCAGAACTACAATACAATGACGGCCAAACGTCAACATTAAATCAGATGATGACAAAAAGGATCAGCACTAGTACAATTTTTTTCTTCACCTTGAGGAGCATTTCCACATGCTGCTAGTAATTGCGGTTGAAGCGCAGAGTCACAGTCCTAGTCATTGTTTTGGAGGGGGTTATTTGATTGAGGGGGTACTGCATGCTGCTTGACGACCTGAACAAGCTTTCCGTTCTGAGCACAGTACTCTAAATAAATTTACTGGATTTATAACAAAGTGAATGTAAAGCACACACTCTTTCAAAGTGGCGTGTAGTTGAGCTGTGCACATCTCACTGGCGTTAACTTCCGAGTCCACGGCACAATCAAAGTGTGCCATATTTTCAAAATGGATCTCTATGGAATTCTCTAGTCTCATGAAAATTCCATGATCGGGAAATTGGGGTATCCTCAGACTTCACTGAATCACGCCTCTATGATGGTTGCACACATATTTCCAGGTTACGAATGGTGGGTGTGTAAGAAGCCTAGACGGTAGAGTCGCCACATATTAAAAACGCATAAAAAATGCACGGACGAAATTGATTTGAAAATGCCAACGGGAGAATATCCTCCAAAATGGAGCAAATTCTGAGTTTTCTTTAGCAGCATTGAAAGATAAGCCTTCCAGAGGTGCGGTCTAACCAGCGGCAAAATCTCAGTTTTTACGTTCTGGTAGGAGGCTACATCGGTGCTTCCAAATACGGTAACTGGTCATTTCCCATTGCAGCAGGACTCTTTCACACTGAGCAAATGTGTGCACGAAATAGGTCCATACGTGTTATTGATCATTTACTTTGTGGTTTCCACCCGTATACATGAAATATCTGATGTTCTTGTGACACTGCTCTCAATCTTTATACGGTGGCACCCGGTGAACCTTCTCCGGTATTTTGTCGTAACTTACGCCCAAAGATTGTTGCACGTATTACTCCATTTTCCTTTTGCCCATTAAATGAAAGCAGCAAGCTTGCAACATTTAGGCGGTCTTTACAAATTAAGATATTCAGCTGAATCCTTTTGCGTTCCTTATCAACGGGTACACGATGGAAACTGTACCAATTTTCACAACAAAATTACCTTTCTTGCAATCGTTTCGATATCAGAGCCTCCGGGAATAAGGTGGATTGTATGGGCAGGAATTACATGCTGGTGTTAAAGCTTGTCATTAAACGAGCTGCTGTGACTCTATAGTGAAATGGAGGAGGTGGAAATTCAAAGGCCACAAACTACATTTAACAGATAGCTTGTCAATGAAAACTGAAATGCAAATTACTTTGTTGTTGGTTTGTTTTTTGTGTGTGTAGGTATGAGTGAACAAGAGGCAGACCTGAATTCCTCAGTTCTTTCTCTCTTCCTGACATCGTTGATGGCGTTGGTGTTTTCAATTTGTGCCGCTGCACCACTCTTACAACTTCAGTACTTTACCTTCATCATCCAAGTGCTCAATCGCTCGTTCCTGTATGGTGGCAATGCAGCATTCCTCAGTGTGGCGTGAGTAAAACTGCACACAAAAGTTTTGCAATATCTCCCTTAATACTGTACCTTCAAAAAGCAAGAAAAGTTGCCATGAGATGTATTGTTTTGATTGATGTTCATGTGTTCAGCAAGATGGATGCATGTCATCATTTGTTTCTCTTTTTTTTGTCATTGAGTCAGAGAGGCTCGATTTCCCCAACCCAAGAATGCTAACATAATCTCTTCTTATTCATTCGACATGAGCCAGAAAGTAGTCTCATAACTAACATACCGACAGACATACAGACAAAAAAGTGTGCTCCACACTTTTTTGGGGAGGAATTTCTATTCTCTATTGTTTTGATTTTTACACCTCAGGCCACCAGCAAAGGTGAAGCTTTTTCCCACATGAGCACTTTGAAACGGCAAATACTTTGGAGAGTGTCCGAATTCACCCAAACATTGTCAGATTGTTCAAAATGCTGATGCTCCGCTCGTAACTGGAACACGTAAGAGGGAGCACATTACTCCAATTCTGGCCTTCATCCACTGACTATCTGTGCGCTTTTGAGGTCATTTTAAGAGTCTGCAACTTGTTTTCAAATCTCTGAAAGGTTTCACAATTTACGCTCTGAACTCGCTGAGCTGCTTCATCTATACACTCCTGCCTGGGGCATCAGGTGCTGCTATTTTTGTCTGACTGCACACCTTTGATCACATTGTTCGGTGCTCAGCACACTGTGGTCTAATCCAAAACCATCAAAAATATGGCTTTATTAAAATGTTTGTGTTGTGTTGTGCTTTTTTTTTTTCTTTTTGTGTGCATCTAGTTTCCCATCATGCCACTTTGGAAAGCTGTACGGCCTCATCATGGCTATTTCAGCAGTCTTCTCTTTACTGCAGTATGCCTGCCTTGCTTTGGTAAAGTCTGTCCTGCATGGAGATCCTTTATATGTGAGTATGCAGTCACACAAATCTTGAATAAATTCCTGAACAAATTCCTTCAGGCACTCCCTTTTATTCTCATGTGCCTGTAGGTGAACATCGCTGTGACCCTGGTGATTCTGCTCGCCTTTGTCCACCCGCTGTCTGTCTTTTTGCACTGTAGAAATCTTGCATCGCAGCGCGCCAAGAGTCAGCTTCAATAGCAGTAAAAGCGGACTTGTGACAATTTCTCAATTCTCACAATGACGCTGACACAGTGACTGTAACATCAATACTGTTCTGTTGGTTCTTTGATTTTTAAATGATTCACCAAGTTTTTTGATTGTGTGTTTCGGATTCCTATGTTATGTTTTGTGTGCCGTCAGCAAACCCAAAACGGCTGCGTGTACTCACAGTTTTGCTTTATTTTGGACAACCTTATGTTAACTTTGTCTCTCCACTTTTTTTTTTTACTGTAGAAAATATAGAAGCGTATTCTGAATTCTTGACATATTTGGTAATGTTATGAATTTGCCAAAAGTGTAACTTAGGCTTCTGTTTTAAACTGAAGCAAAGTTGCAGACTCAACAAAGCAGTTCACGACTCAGCTATTCCACCTACTGCACATTGTAGTCGTCTACGAAGTTAACAGACCTCATTTTGTAAATATAGAAATGAGACAAGCATGTGGAGTTTTAACTTTCTCAAAAAGTTTCACGCGATGAAGAATGAACATTAATTGTGGGGGCATTTAAAAAGATATGAAGTGAAATATCTGAAATGTGTCCTTGTTTGTGTGCTGTGAACATGACTGAACTTTGGACAACATGGTCAAATTATTCTTCTAATGCACTAGCTGATTCCCTCTACAGCAGTGGTTCTTAACCTGGGTTCGATCGAACCCTAGGGGTTCGGTGAATCAGTCTCGGGGGTTCGACAGAGCCTCTGTCATGGAGGTTAAGACACACCCAACTCAACATGTCAATTAGTTAAGATACGCCCGCTTGGCCATCACTCGGTGGTTCATTTTGTGCATAATTAAAAAACGTATACTCTATACTTTACTAATTGTGTTTACTTTTTTTTTGTTTTTAATAAATGCGTTTTTTTATGTCTTGAATTTGTAAAAATAATAATAATAATAATATTTTTATTTTTCATGAATGAAGGGTTCGGTGAACGTGCATATGAACTGGTTGGGTTCGGTACGATAAACAAGGTTAAGAACCACTGCTCTAGAGGTTAATCTGATATCACTTGAAAAGGTCTAAATCAAGTAGGGCTCTCCTTAGTGGTTCAAATTAATCTAGAAGGGCCTAAATCAAGGATTGTAAACTCCGGTGTTTGAATTTTTAGAATTGCAAATACTCATGCCAATTATTCAGCCATTTATCAAGCCAATTGTCATGGAATTCAATTCATTGAACCTTATACCTTTCATTACTCCATTAGACACGGCACACCCGTTACATCATAAGTGCTCATTTCCCCCCAACAGTTTTTTCCTCTTGCATCATGTCACCGCTCCACATGTCAAGAGCAAAACATCTTTGTCATGATCCAGTCCTGTTTGCTTTGTTTCCTCAGTCTCCCACTGGAGAGTAGGCATTTCCTTACGAACCGCACATGACATGAATTTGCCCTTGTTACCTACTGCCTTTAAAAAGCCATGCCACGCTAATGACTGCTGTTGGAAAATTTGCCTTGCCTATGTCTAGAGTCTCTCTAGATGCTTGATGTTCATACCTCGTAGTTTCTTTGTTCCATATAAGTAGTATTTCGGTTGATAATTATCGTCTTGGTTTGTATTATATGCACTTTGGGTTTTCTTGTCCATTTTTGACAAGCAAATTTTGTTTAATGCCATCTAATCTCAAGGCGCACATAGACAAACAATCATTCGCACTCACATTCATACCGAGGGACAATTAATGTGTTCCATGAACCTGCCATGCATGTTTTGGGAATGTGGCAAGAAACCAGACTACCCGGAGAAAACCCACGCAGGCACGGGGAGAACATGCAAACTCCACACAGGAAAGCCGGGACCTGAAACTGAACCCTGCACCTTTGAAATGTGAGGCGGACGTGCTAAACAGTCAGGCACCGTGCAACCATACCTGCCATCATTTTTATTTTATTTTTTTTAACCTACTACCTCAACTTAAGAAGAAAAGAAATAGAGAGAGAAGAGAACAAGAACAGCCATTTACACTCACAGTCACTGAGTAGGAACTGAACGCACGTTGCCTGTACACAAGTTAGTGTGTCACTACACTAACAGACTCAAGAAGAATTTTTTTTAAAACTCTTGGGGACAGAAGATCCTCTGCAGCAATAAGTTGTGTCTGCTTCCAGAAATAACACAGACAACTTCACTGACCAAGTCTCTCACTGTGCCCCCGCTGCGCAACATGTTAGATCGATGCAAACCTGTCAATTCTATCACTTGGAATGTAAGTGCGTGTACATCTCCTACAGTAGCAAATTGCAGATGGAGCCTTTCACAACAGCAATGACAGAAATAGAAACAAAAGTGTCAGAAGCTGAGAATAGAAACAACAACCTAACACCTAACGTCAGTGTTGGTCTCCATCTGTTTTTAGGGTTGCTATTGGAAAAACAAAACTGTGCATCCATCAATGAACCGAGATGCTTATCGTCACGAGAGTTGCGGGCGTGCTGGAGCCTATCCCAGCCATCTTCAGACAGTAGGTGGGGGACACCCTCAACTGGTTGCCAGCCAATCGCAGCCGAACTATACTGAATGGAATGTCCATCATGTTTTGGTTGCTCCATACCACTCACAGCACTGTAAAACAGTGGTTCTCAAACTTTTATAACAAACACCACCTTGTAACACCATAATATAAAACAAAGTGGACATTTTATTAAACATTTTAACAAACATATAGAAAATGCGCATCTGGTTATTGTCATTGGGTTCATTCCACTTTGAGTCAATTTTCAAGTGTGATACGATGCTAAAACTTAATGTTGAATGACTCAAAAATTCAACAAAGTCTGGATGGACCTTGCAACGCTCTGTACACCCACATTTCATGTGCTTCATTCAATTCTACGCAACCTCACACTGCTTCTAAAAAGAATTGGATTTGATCTCAAGTCTACATTGTTAACAAATGAGACAAAAACAGCTTGCACACACAACACCCTTCCAAGTTTCAAAATAAACGTTGAGTGCAACTTCTGATGGTTTGTCTCCCCACTGGCCTGATGTACATTGTTGGCCAAAGCACACACTGACCACATACTGTAGAAGGTCTTCAGCTGTGAAAGATGAGTTTGCACGTGTGAGAGATGGCTATCGACAGTCGGCGACACATTAATAGAATCAAGACAGATCCTTTGAACATGCTGTGTTTACACCAATTCAAATGTCAGCGTGCCTGTGAATCACGTTGACACAAGCGGGCGAGTGAGAGAATGCATCATTAAGGGAGGAGAGGCTGGTGTGGAGTGTGTAGACACACGTTGCATCTACAAGATACGCACATGAGGTGAACTCACACACTTCCTCCTCCTCCACGGAGTCTGGCCGGTTTACCCAGAGGCCAAGAATATTGTCAAAGAAATCTCCCAATCACGCTTCCAAAGCTGTTGCACCACCCCGTGGGTAAATACTTGCCAAAGTCAGTTAGGATGTGATGTACAATATGCATCCGCCAATCACTTGCCAAGAAACGTTGCTGTCGTAAGCATCCTGAAACATGGAATTTCAGTTTGGTAAGTGTATTTGCTTGGGAACAGATGGAGTGTGTCATGCTGGTACTCACCTTGACCCATGTGGGTGATGACGGATCAATTTATGAGTAACCCCAAGCCTTGTCGCGGAAACCCACGTCCAGACTGTATTGTTTTCCATCTTTTCCAGAAAAATACACAATCCGCTGAAAGATATTGGATAGCCTCTCATTAGTTTGATTTCTTGAAGTAAACATTAGCTTTTTTTTCTTTTTTCAACAAATAATGCCGATAGGAGTAAGCCATTTGGCAGCTAGCTAGGTAATAGCTAACATTAGCACTCAACCCCTTTGCTTGGACCGGATGGTCACTTGCTACTCTTTTTGCTCACTCATGCCCATGACTACCAATGTTCAATTCCATTGTCAAATTTACATCATCTTTGTCTGGAATAGAGAGTTTTTCCTTGACATCACGTGCATCTGGTGTCATGTTGGAGGTCATTGGTGCTTCCTGAGTGGTAAATTTGTTTAGGTCCGTTTCTAAAAAAATCTTAGAATTGATTATCCGATCAATTACTTCATCAATTACTTGGGCAATTGCCCCAGACTCCATACGCTTCCCCCAGTTCCCCCCCGTCCATGAGAAGAGTTGACAACCTCTTGGCTGTCTGAAGTCTACTGCACTATCAAGGGTCTTCATGTAGCGCATGCATTTGTGCAGGTTGAATGTTCCTGCCCTCTCAAGTTATGTTGCTCGGCACCGCTCTGATTGTCTTTTTGGTGCCTAATTTTGGAGACTATCCGATTGGATGGTGCCTTCCGAATTTGGAACGCCAGCAATCAACTTGCCTTATTACCCATTTCGGAGTATTTTCTAATTAAAAACCTCGACTTTATGTGTCTCCTCTTTGTGATTTCATGTCCCTTCTCTAATTGCTCAGTTTCATTCTCTAATTCAAATTGTAGCCTGTAATCTTCCCTCTCATTGTGGCCTTTCCTTCATCCCATAACACGGAGGGAGAAACAATATCATTGTCATTTATGGCACAGCCAGGACTGATTGAATTTCCTGTTTTATATTAGCATTTGCAGGTAAAAAACAAACACACAAACATTAAGTCTCCAGTATGTCAAGGTACTATCAGCTCTAAAATTAATTTCCACAGTAATTGGGCAATGATCCGAAATGATCATAGATCCTATTGTATTGCTCTTTACCCCGTACATGTGCGGTTTTGAAATTAAGAAATAGTTTATTCCCAAATAACTTCCATGCACTTGTTACATGAATGTGAAATTTTTATCGCTTGGATGGAAATGACGCCAGACATCCACCAAACCCAACTTGGCGACACGGTGGTCGACAGGTTAGCATGTCCACCTCACAGTGCAGAGATGCAGGGTTAGATTCCAGGCCCTAGCCTTCCTGTGTGGATTTTGCAGGTTATCCCCATGCCTGCATGGGTCCCTTGGTCTTCATGATGCTATTTGCTCCCCAATATTCTTTTGACAGATCTCGGAGAACATCACAGAGCAGGTGCAGTTATACTGAGACTAGATCACACACAGGCGGACTCTATTTATCCATCCATCCATTTTCGGATCTGCTTACCCTCACAAGGGTCGCGGCGCGTGCTGGAGCCTACCCCAGCTGTCTTTGGGAAGGAGGCGAGGGTACACCTTGAACTGGTTGCCAGCAAATCGCAGGGCACATATAGACAAACAACCATCTGCGCTCACACTCACACCTAGGGACAATTTAGAGTGTTCCATTAACCTGCCATGCATGTTTTTGGAACGTGGGAGGAAACTGCAGTACCCGAAGAAAACCTACACAGGCATGGGGGGGGGGGGGACATGTAAACTCCACACAGGAAGGAGGGGAGACGGAATCGAACTCTACACCTCCGCAGTGTGAGGCTGACGGGCTAACCACTCGCCCACTGGGCTGCCCAAATACAAATCCTGTCGTGAAATAAAGGGATAAAGAGTAAAAGTAAAAAGTCAAAAGAAAATAAATAAATACTCACTTCCCACCACCTTTTCAACCACAATGATGCTGTATTGTTAGATAACATAAGAAGGAAGGAGCCAAACATTGTCTTCTGCTCCCTTTCTTGGCTCTTCCTTCGGCGAGTGCCATCCCTCCTCCTTTCACCAGGGAGGCTGACGTCTGACAGCGGACACAGCCCTGCCTACGCTGCCTGGTGGGCGACGAAGCCGCCGCCAAGTATAAATAATGCTTGCGGGGACTCCCGAGTTTCATTCACTCCCCTGTGAAGCCACAGCGACTGAGTCCCCGGAGCCGAACGTCAGCAGAGATAGCAGCAAGCAGGCACTTTGTCGCCGCGCAGGCTAACTCGCTTTCGATTTTACTCATCATGGAGACTCGCTGGACCAAGAGGAGCTCCAAAACAGCCCACAACTTCAAAAGTGAGTTGCCGTGCACTCAACATGTTTGTGTTGCCTTGCATTTTAGATGAAACAAAAATGCATGCTTTAATTTTGATTATTTTTTTGTACTTAGTCGGGTGAGAATTTGAATAGCTGGAAACTTTCATGAACTAGGAAAAAAAAAGTGACTTTATTTTGTTCGTTTGTTTGTTTATTGAACATATAAACAGATAATGGAAACTACCAAATTGAAAATTGACTCTTACTAGAGAACTTATACAGTTTGGACAACTACATTTGAGCATAATTCTGACTAAAACAAACCAATTGCATTTTGATTTTATAGATTCAGACAGACTACTCAAGTCAAGGGGAAATTCAGCAACGCTACAAATGAATGCAATACAGTTGAATATGGAGATTCAATGACCTGCAATGGGTTAGAAGACGAAGAAAAAAAAAAGAGAACCCAGGGTGGCAAGAAGATGCTTTGTAGGTATTTTTGGATTGAGTGTGGGTGCATTTTTGTTATTTTAATAATCAGTTAGATCCAGTGGCGGGCCGTGCATTTCAACCTTAGGCCTTCAGTGACGTCACATATTATGAACACAATACTGTATAGGCTCGTCAAGCAGCACTTAATTTCAGGAGCATTTAAAACCATCAAGTATGCATTCACAATTAAGAGCAGTAAACTACATTTACAGATAGTCAAAAATAAAAAGATGATTTAAAAATACGAAATAAAATGCCACCCAAATTACGCTGTGTGATCTTAAACAAGTCTGTCCAATAAATTGCGCAATGTCGCAGTTTCATTTAAGACACCAACCAAACAATAACAAAACAAACTGTTCTTTGAAAATAAAGTAAACAGATCATTTGCATTTTGAAAATCGACGATACAACAGCAAATAACTGACATAACTGACTAACTAATAACTGACTAACAGCTGAGATTGAACGAACCTTCGTGCACGAAGGTGACTACAATGCGCCATTATAAATTGCAGGTGAGCAGATTTATTTGATACGTTTGTATCTTTGTCATTTTATTTCGTTACCATGAATTTAATACAAACGAAATAAAATGACAAGAAGAAATGTAAAATAAAATTCATTGACTCACCGATGTCGTGCCTGTTCACTGAGGTGCACATCTACGCGAGTGTCCCCAAACGTTTTTAAACGCACCGTAGCTTGTAAGTGCCCAGCTGTTTCCTTGCTGCCCTAGTAAAACAATCCAGTGTGGCTCCAAACACCAAATCGGTCAGTTGCAAGCAATAGGCATT